TAAATAAATAAATAAATAAATATATTAAATAGATTTATTCATTTATTTATTTGTTTGTTATCTATATATTTATTTATTTATTTATTTATTTATTTATTTATTTATTTATTTATTTATTTACAGAGCCGCAAGCATGAATACCAAGCAGCCCGCCTAAACAAATCCGAGTTGTTGTTTACTTCTTCTCGTCTATATTATTAAATACATAAATAAATAGATAAACAAATACACAAATAAATACACAAATAAATAAATATATTTAATTAATTTATTTATTTATGTATATACAGAGCCGCAAGCATGAATACCAAGCAGTACGCCTAAACAAGTCTGAGTTGTTGTTTACTTCTGCGCGGCTGCGGGGCCTCGCAAATGAATACAAAGAAATAGATGAACACTACCAAGAGCTACAAGCTGCACTTGTTGATAAGTGTATTCAGGTTTGTTTTTTTTTTTTTTTTATTTTTTATTTTATTTATTTTATTTTGTTTTTTAGTTTTTTATGAACACTACCAAGAGCTACAGGCTGCTCTTGTTGATGAGTGTATTCAGGTTTGTTTTTTTTTTTTATTTTTATTTTTTTATTTTTGTTTTTTATTTTTTTTTATTTTGAACACTACCAAGAGCTGCAGGCTGCGCTTGTTGATAAGTGTATTCAGGTTTGTTTTTTTCTTTTTTTTTATTTTTTGTTTTTCTTTTTTGTTTTTTTTTTGTTTAGTTTGTTCTTGGGCTTGGTGATAAGTGTATTCAGGTTTGTTTTTTTTTGTTTTCTTTTTTTTATTTTTTTTTATTTTTTTTATTTTTTTTTAATTTAGTATCAACAACTACAGGCTGCTCTTGTTGATAAGTGTATTCAGGTTTGTTTTATTTTTTTTTGTTTTATTTTTTATTTGTTTACTGCTTATATAGATATATATATATATATATATATACATATATTTATATATCCATGTATATATATATGTATATATATATTGAGGTGTATATACACCCTAAACGCAAATAAAACCATAAAAACAAACCAAGCAAAAAGCACCCATCAACCCCAAACCTAAACCTAAAAAAAAAAAAAACAAAAACGGAAATAAATAAAAGAATAGGATTGGGGTGTATATGCAGGTGGCTTCTACATACTGGCCTGTTGTTGATCGGCTAGCAGAGGTGATTAGTTTAATTGATGTTTTAGGTGCTTTTGCTGCTGTAGCTATCTCAGCACCTAAACCATATGTACGCCCCGTTATAGAGCCTGAAGGTAATTATATTATTTTTTTTTATTTATTTCTTTTTGTTTATTTTGTTTTGTTTATTTAGTTTTGTTTGTCTTGTTTGTCTCTTTTTCTTGATTCTTCTTGCGTTTGTTTATTGTTTTTATTTATTTTTTTAGTTTTTTTTTTGTGTTGCTGTAGCAGCAACAAAACCTATGTACGCCCCGTTATATAGACTGAAGGTAATTATATTGTTTCTTTTTATTTGTTTCTTTTTGTTTATTTCCTTTTATTTCTTTTTATTTATTTCTTTTTGTTTGTTTTGTTTTTTTTCTTTATTTTGCTTCTTCTTGCGTTATATATATATGTATATATATATATATATATATATATATATATATATATATAAACAAAAAGAACAAAAGAATGCATAGTTCTCTCTCTCCTCTCTCTTTCTCTGTATCTTTCTGTGTACATGTATATATATTGACTATACACAGCT